TTCACATGACCCTCTCTCTGTCTGGACTCTCTCTCTCTCTCTTTCTCTTTTTCTCTCTCTCTCTCTCTCAGCAAGGGTGACCAGCGCCCCCTGGTTCTCCCTTCTTGTCTTTCCTCCTCCTTTCAGTCTGGTCATCCTCACAACATTTCAGACCGTACACCGAGGCCGCTCACGTCTACTGAGAACCTCTCCGGCCGTTCGACACGAAACACTCGACAGACTCCCGTCAGTTCGTAGGTCTGGGCTCATCTGCGATCTGACCTTTCTTCTCTGACCTCACTCTTCCTCGGACCACTCTCTACTGACACCTGTAGGATTCTTCAGGGTTTAAACTGGAAACCAGAATTCAACCAGAAGCGGCTTGAACGCTTCTCCGCCAGGCGTGTCGTTAGCCATCGACTGCGTTCAACGCCTGTCGGAACGTTCTCGGATTAGCATCTGTGCACGTCCATAAACAGGATCCGGTGGAACGACATCCGGACTGAAGACCGCGCATCCAAAATTGTCACAAACTCTTGGTCACCAGGGAAACCGGGGGAGAGACACGAGAAGGAGTCGACGACGTCTGGTTTTGGTTCGTTAAAAGGAGAAAACGCTGCGTTTCATTTGAATTAGCAGTTTCTGTCAAGGCAGTTTCTAAAGTCTGTTCCTTTGAAGTCATTTTATTTTTTAACATTTTTTTGTTTTTTTGTACATCAGGAGAGAATCACTCCTGCTGTGAGTGTTTCGTGCAACAGCGTTGTGGACCTTCAGACAAAAGCCAGCTCTGGTTCTCCTTCTCCCAGACTCCTCTCTGGTCTCTGGTTCCTGCTCTGTCCTTTTCTGACCTCTCTCTTTCTCTCTCTCTTTCTCTCTTTCTTTCTCTCTCTCTCTACCATCGTCAAACCTCAACCACAGACTGATCGCCCAACCAGGAAGGAGGGACTCTTTATACCGTTACAATAACGTCATTATTGTTATTAATAAATGGAGATTATCATAATTATCTTTTTTTTGTAATGACTTTTAAAAACAAAGTTAAAAAGTAAAAAGGCAGTTGTAAAACTTGTGGCTAAAACTTCAGTGTTTGTAGTTTAAAAAGCAACTTGTGTCGTTCTTCTGACGCTTTTGTGTTTTGTTTTGTTTTGTTTTTTTTGTTTTCCTTTTCTGGCTTTTTCTCCTTTTTCCTGTTTGTTTGTTGTTTTTTCTTCTTCTTTGTTCGTTTTTGTTTGTGTGCTCAAGTCTTTCCTTTATCTCTGTATTTTTTTGTTGTTGTTGTCTGTGAGGAGGGAGGGAGGTCCAGCCAATCATCTCTCCTTCTTCTTCTCCACGTGGAGTCTCAGTGACATCGCTGCTGCTCTCCCTCAACTTTGTCTGTTTTAATTTGTCATTGAATAAATCTATCTTTTTCATAGCCCCGACTACTTTTTCATGCTTCTCTCGCACTGACTCCACCCGGCCTGTGACGCCATCGTTACGTTTAAATGGGTAAGAAAGAGACTTAATTTTTTTTCCTGGGATTAAGGTTACCATTTAGATGCTCTAACGTTTAAGGTAAGCTCTAGGAAACATAATTTGTATTGCTACTTTGGAAACAAATGTTTATATTTTTAAATAATTTATACTTATAATACTTATATAATATATACCCTCACCTGTCAAACAAGGGTTAGAGTTTTTTAATGTGAACTTCTTTTGTAAAAATGCCATATTCTATTCAAAGTACATAATTTGTAGTAAAAATGCAAAATAACTTTAAACAGTTTGCTTAACACTGTCGTGTATTGTAAAAAATAATGTGTAAAAAAAAAAACCCAAATGCCCCAAAATAACTCAAAATTCAGAATTTGAAGTAAAAACATTTTAAAACTTAAAACGTTTTCATAATTTTTGAAAACGTTTTTCTGTTAAAGATACGTAGTTGTAAATAATGACCGCTAGGTTTGTACTATGTGTAGTACAAACAAGATAATTTCAATTCACTTTCATTCTCGCGATAAACTTTGCCTTTACGTAACGAGAACCACTCTGCTCAACGCACAAACGAGGTAAATGAGATTCTGTTGGAAAGATACCAAGTAAATTTTGTATTTTAGTGCCTGTAATGTTGAATTTGTTATGAGAAAGTTCCATAACGGCTGCGAACGTTTCCATTTATTGTTCGCCCTGAGAGTTTACTCACGTAGCATCCTAAGTTGTTAGCGGACTTCTGTTTCTCAATTGAGTTGAATGTTTGAGCAATATGGAACCTTTCTAATTGCTCAAAACCAATCGCAGTTGATTATAAACATTATGCGTGTGTTGTATAAAGTAAACATGTTGTGTTTTGTGTATTTATTTTCATGTTAAGAGCAAAGTTTTAGCTTCGTCATTTTCGGACGCCATGTTCAAGGTCGTTAATTAAACTCGAGCTGTGTGTGTGGGTTAAAAGCTCATGATTTGATTAATCGAGTTTTGCTTTTTCTTTTTTTTTTCCATGATGAAACTGTTTGCTGTTCATATGCAGATATTTAAAAATGTACCAGTGTGTAACTGACCTACAAAGATAATTAGATTAGATTGAAAGTTTATGTCAAATTTTGTTTGTGTGTTTTACAGTACGTGAATCTAAGGCTACGCTCATGGGCCCAGCCTACTAAATCCACTCTGAAAATAGCAGGAAAAAAAAAATCCACATCAAAACGAAAATATGAAAATGAACACAGGATGTTTTTTTTAAACTTACTGGCAAGCCATCTGCCTTATACTATGTCAGTCATCATTAGCGCATTTCAAGGTTTCAAATATTCAGCAGCACTTCAGTTGACTCCATGCTAACATCAACCAGGTATTGCCAAAAGTAACTTATGTGGCTCTTTGCAGTAACACTTGGATGGCCACACACGGATTAATTGAATAATAATTACTATCACTTTATGCATTGGCAGATTGTTTTCTGGAGTTGCCGGCTCGGCATCGAGTGAGACATCATTGATCTTAACCAGGGCTCCTGTCTGATGTGAGGCTGGGTTGGAGAAGATCTCGAGACCTCTTTATTAATCTTCTCGCCAGTGATCAACGCCTGGAGCACATGAGGTCTGCAACCATAGACATCTACACACACACACACACACATTCTTTTGACCACAGTGAAATACCATACCAATAAATTCCTGTACAATCTCCGAAAATAAAAGTTTCTCAA